ACTTTGTATGATTGCATTGTAATGTTATTAAGGGAAAATAAACCTAATGACTGGCGAAGACGAAGTGTATTTCAGTACGATTGCGACTAAAAAAGCGATCGACTACTGGCAGAATGCCTGGGCTTATATTATAGAATGGTTTCTATTGCTATTTTAATCGTGTCATCACTCCTTTTTCAATTCGCAATAAGTCTAGGTGAGTGTACAATTAATTTAACCACATAGTATGATGTCAAATGCACTTCTTACATGTTAAGGAAACGCCAAATATGCTTCCAAGACCCATGAAGTCTTCGAGAAAATCTTCGAAGGCTACAATAGACATATCCGACCCGTACGTAATCTATCCACAACCACTGTAGTCTTTATGGACAATGGGCTGCGATCAATTCTTCATACCGTAAATTATTCCTCAGATACTCAGCTTAGATAGTTAGAGTATGTAAAGTTCCAGGATGAATTAAACCAAGTTCTTATGGTAAAGGAATGGTTGAGAATGTTTTGGAGGGATGAATTCCTAGTATGGAATCCGATGGAATACGACAACATTACTGAGATTAAGGTTCCGAGAAGTTTAATTTGGCTTCCTGACGTGATAAGAATTGATGTGTAAGTCTTTCAACAATTTCAACTTTTGATCCTAATTGTAGCCTAACCATACAGCCTGGATCAATCTCAACTTATGGACGACGACCGTAGTTTTGTACTTGTGGATCATACAGGGTTCATAAGACATTCCGTGGATCATGTTGTCAAAGTATATTGCAATTACAGAATCACAATGTATGCTGTTTGCGGATACTCTTTTATAATTAAGAAAACCTAATTGATACTTTTAGGTTTCCGTTTGATCACCAAAACTGCACAATTCATTACGAACCATGGCATTCTACCCTAAAGGAAGTTTTTATCGAAGTGCATCCCGAACCTGATGTCAATAATTATCGTCCTAGTAACGGTAACTCATACCCATCCTAATATCTTTACCGTATCTAACTGCCTTCAACTACAAAAAAAA